CATTTTTGCTCATCTATTAAGAGGATCTACACAAGTCTAATGCATGAAATGATAGTGATTATCAGAGTTCATCAGGCCATTCTGTTTCCTGTGTCTTTCTCAGATTTTGAGACTCTGTGAATGTTGTAAAGCACGTGAAGTTGCTACTAAGCTTCCTGACAGTTCTAAGCTGTAATCTATTGTCTTTCATTAGGAGCAGGGGAAAGAAGAGAAGAGAATTATTACTTATTTGGCATGTGGAGTCTTCAACATCTTTTGAAGTCAGTAAACAGCAAGCCCAAAGCAGGGACATCAAACTTTATTCAAGACCGTTAAAATAATTGATATTTTAGTATTAGGGTTAGAACTCAGTTATTTTAATATCCAGACCTGCCCTCTAGTTTTAAAACCCATCTCATTTCAATATAAAATTAAATCATTTCCTTGAGACTGCAACTAAATATGGATAATATGACATCATTGTTTGCTGTGAGGATTATTTTTGAGTGCTGTAAATGACAAAACACGGAAAGATCACCAGTGACTTCCAAGTATCATTTTGTAGTATGAAAATTTAGAGAAAAAAAAATAATCTGGGTTCTCACAGCATTTGTGGACTTTTCCTTCATCATCCTTAGTGGTAAGTTGACAACATTCTATTAATTTATATTATGCTTCCTTTTCTTGCCAGGTCCATTTTTTACTTCATCTGGGTTTTGGTTTTGGTTTTGCTTGTTGGTGATGTGGGGTGGGGTGGGTTGTTTTTACAGAGAAAAGACTGTGATAAGCCTCTTCTTGTTTAATGTTTAACTGTGGTTTTATGTTCAAGTCTCCTCCTTAGCTTTTCTCTCTAAAGTACCAAACAGCAGCAAAATGAGGGGAGAATAGTTGCATGCAACTTTCAAAATAGTTTTTGTTAATTTTGCTAGTGCATATGTCACAGATTTAAGAGTAGAATATTTCAGCAGATGAGTAAGAAGATCTTTCTCTGTTCATCTTTATGAGAGGTTAGCAAAATATTGAGTTCCCAGTCCACTGAAGTCAGGAGAAAACCACAGAAGACAAACTGATGGTAGTGAGGAAAAAAAAACAAAACAATAAGGCTTAATATTGGCCAGTAGGCAAAAAAAGGCAGTCTTATCCACTGTAATTAGCATGAGCTAATAGAATGGAGAAGTCTAACAAGGGTGAGAGGCATTTGCAGATTTCACATGCATTAAGTAATTTGGAAAAATTCCAAAAGAGAGGAATATTACAAACTACATTTTCTGCAGCAGAACCATAGCTGACACCAACTGTCATCTGTAGGGGAAAAAAAAAAAAAAGAAAAACAAACAAAGAGATAATTTTTCCCCACCTGGTGAGAAAAACAAAGCCCTGCCTGCTTGTGGAACACGTGAGCAGGCATTTTCCAACAGAAATTTTTTCTGGTCCTTAAATCCCACCAGGGCAGTAAAATAATAATTAGCTGCTATTCAGAAGGAAGTTGTCCCCAGAATCAAAAAGGGAGGAAAAACATAGAATAACTGAGGGAAGAAAAAATAAAAAGTAACTGGAGGTACACACTCCCTTCTGCAATAAAAAGAGGGGTTTTGGTTGTGTAAATCACTTGTTGCTGTCCACAAAAGCCATTAGGAGTGCTTTTCTCTCTCACCCTTCCTCCCCCTTTCCCTCCTTCCTGCCTTTTGTTTTCTTCTTTTTTTGTTTGTTTGGGTTTTTTTAATTTTCTTCATTTATCTACACAGAAAAACATTCAAAACAACAACAGAACTCTGTGTGGTTCATTTCTTTTCTAATGTGGGGTGAATTTCTGAATGTACTTTCTGTGCTAGAAAAGCAAATGCCTGTTTTGGCTTACTCCCTCCCCATTCTGCAGTCCACCCTTCTGGGTTACATATTGGAAAGATGGTGTTCTGCATATAAAGGATAAGTGAGTTAATAAAAAATAAAGTACATAGGAGGGCAGAGTAAATGGAGCATATAATTTTTTCATGAACTGGTCTCTTAAGTTTCATTTTGCAAGGCATCATGATTTTCTACGTATTTATGAAAATATGAAATAGTGAACTTGATGCTTAATGCAAAATCTACTTAGAAATTTTCAGTGAGGCTGTATCTTGTTTTCTCCATCAGAAAATCTGGTATATATCTCCTACAGGCACTACCACAAAGATAGGAAGATTATGATACTTAGCTGTTACGAGATTTTGTAATTCTACAAACCTTCCTTCAAAACCATGTCTTACAAAACAAATTTACATGCCAGCTTGGTAATGCAAGCAAAAACATTGTCAAACTGTTATGGACGGTATGTGATGCTTCAAGAATAAAAATTCCTTAAAATTAATATCACCACATGAATATATAGTAAAGTACAACTATTAAGAAAGATGGGTGAATATTATCTTTTGAAAAACTTTTGAGATAGAGGTGTGCTTTTTTCTAGCATCTAAATGGTGTTTTCAATTGTGAGAGCTCTAAAGCAGTTTATAAAGATAATTAGGCATAAATGTCCCCATTTCACAGCTGTGCAAACAGAGGGAAACAGTTCTGTAACCTACTTACCAAAATCTTACAGAGGAAAGCAAATCTTGGGCCACCAGATTGCAGGCACTGGTTCATTAAGATCGCTTTCATAGACCTACTGGGTTTTAGCTAAATTAATTAATATTGATATATCAAAAGAATAAAAGAGCTCCTAGATCTCAAATTCTTAATGTTACCTGTTTCAGCTCTGTGTAATTTCTACATTTTTTTTTAGAAGACATAAGCTGCAGAGCAGTTCAGCATATTTCAATGCACCACCTCATTACAGTCTTGAATACCACTAAAATTTCCAGTGTAATGTTTAGGTAGGTGTAAAGTGAGAGGTACTGGGGAAGTATCACTGTGACAGCATAAGGCATAGTGCAGTGAACTATCCAGGTACTATCCCAGCCACCAGTTGTAAGGCATTCAGAAAAGGTGCTTGTAAACAGGTATGCTCTGCAGCTTTCAAAGTACACAGCATATAGTCTCCCGCATTAGCAACATCTCCATGACAACTGCTTTATAATTCATGCCACATAATATATAACTTCACTGTTCAAAAAAAAAAAAAAAAAAACAGCCCTTGCAACATGCTAACAAGGCCACATTCTTGAAAATTAAATGAACCTGAAAGATTTTTTTAGCAATGAATTAACCAGTAAATAACGCTTAAAAGACATTAGAACAGTAAGAATGATAATATTTATGGCTTTGATGGGATCTTAAAATCTCATTCTCTGGTTCTCTACCATTCTCACCATTCCAAATCCCCATAATTGATACTGATGCAACATTTCAGTCAATAGCTATAAAAGGGAATGAGGAGGACAAAACGGCTTTTTGGCGTTTAATGAGTAGATATGATCACATGGAACTTTGTATTTCAGGGTTTTTTGTTAATCAATCTTGTTTTAACTTACAGAGTTTAAAAGTGTTAGAGGGATATCAACAGTTTTGGGGCTTAGCAAACAATAGAGTGTTAACAAGGATAATTTGAAAAATGTTTTCTAATGTGGTGTGGTATAGAGAATTAAAGCTATTAAAATGCCTTTCCCTGTTATTGATTCAAAACCAAGTTAACCAATCAAATAAAACTATTGCTAAAAATCTAATAAACATTCTGACAGATGTGAAACCCAGTGTAAATTTAGTTCTGTAAATTTACCGAGAACAGATATATAGATAAAGAAGGAGAAACAAATAGTTAGATATCAAGTGTTCACTGTACAGGTCCTACTTTTTAAGAATCAGAAAAAGGAAACAGGTAATAGGGCAAACCATGTTGCGCTTAATGGATTGTGAACAACCCATTCATTTTTCTGGTTTAATTGCCATCTGCTTGTTTTAAGTTAGTAACTTTAAATATCAAAACTGGAAAATACTGGGATGCAGGTCTTGGTTCCTTCCACAGCAAAGCCATCCTAAGGTTGCTTAGCCATTTTCATGCAGACTTTTGTATTTGAAATTTTCTTTGTTATGATTTATAGCACATATACTGTAATAATTGTTTTCAGAACTGTGGTACAGAAACTACGCAAGATATCAAATAGGAAGGAATTACCAACTGACAAATCACAGAACAGAATGTTAGAACAGTTAGGGTTGGAAAGGACCTTAAGATTGTCTAGTTCCAACCGCTGTGCCATGGGCAGAGACACCTCACACTAAACCATCTCACCCAAGGCTCCGTCCAACGTGGCCTTCAACACCACCAGGGATGGAGCATTCACAACCTCCCTGGGCAACCCATTCCAGTGCCTCACCACCCTAACAGGAAATAATTTCCTCCTTATATCCAATCTAAACTTCCCCTGTTTAAGTTTTAACCCATTACTCATTGTCCTATCACTACAGTCCCTAATGAAGAGTCCCTCCCCAGCATCCTTATAGGCCCCCTTCAGATACTGGAAGGCTGCTATGAGGTCTCCATGCAGCCTTCTCTTCTCCAGGCTGAGCACCCCCAGCTGTCTCAGCCTGTCTTCATATGGGAGGTGCTTCAGTTCCCCTGATCATCCTTGTGGCCCTCCTCTGCACTTGTTCCATCAATTTCATGTCCTTTTTAAGTTGCAGACACTAGAACCGCAAACAGTACTCCAAGTTAGGTCTCACAAGAGCAGAGTAGAGGGGCAGGATCACCTCTTTTGACCTGCTAGTCACACTCCTTTTGATGCAAATAAAAGGCTTCTCTTGAGTTACAAACCTTAAACTCTGTTAAAGAAAAAGCAAAAAGAAACACATTCTGGAATAAGAAGCAAAAGTTGAAAAACAGGTACCTCATCATGAGACTTACTAACTTAAGCTTACAGGGTTACTTAGTAGTTGCCAAAAAGACTAGCCTAAATTCTTCAGTGAGATCTACTTAAGGAATGATGACATTAGTGACCAAACAACAGCAGCTGTGCAGAGCTAATTCCAAAGCAGGATGCAGCTATATCAGAAGCACATGGTTGTTTTGTTTGTTTTTTTTTTCTGGTTGTCTTTCTTTACTGTATCTCTTTCAGTGGATGAGAGGAGAATTGAAGTGAAGTCTGCAGTAACAGTTTGAAATGGGACTGATGTTATGCTGCTTTCAGTGTTTCAAGTATGCAATATTATTTTGAGAATTATGTGCCTCTGGTTTTGGAATTTAAATTGTTTGGTTTACGGAGAGATAGAATTTTGGATTGCAAATAGATTAAGTGTGCCTGTGCTTAAATCTGAGGAATTCTTTATTTCATCTGTTAATGAGGTTCAGGTGGTATATACTAATGTATACCGTGGGGGTTTTGTTGTATTGACTGTTATGAACCTCAGTTACTGGGAGCTGTGTTTCTGCAGAGCACTCAGAACTTGATAGTGGTGAATAGAAGAATGAGAACGTTTTATACATCATAAGGATAATTTAATTTTCTATAGCTAAAAATTATTAAAAATTCCCAGTTGAGTTGAGCTACAATTTTTCTTTTAAACAGTGAAAAAATGTTTTCGTTTTCAGTAGATTCTACAAGGTCCATAGTCAAAATTTTGGTTTCAGTGCTAACATCAGGTTCCTTAAATAATGAAGCAAGGAGGCAGCTGCACACAAATGTTAATGGTATGGGGATGACAAAGGTGCTGAGGTACAAGTTTATTGTCACAAATTCCATCCAGAATGGGGTTCTGGGATGAATAACCACCAAAGGATTGGCCTTTCACAGATTAAGTTTCTCAGAAATAGTAATGTAAATTAGGGAACTCTTTTCTAGTTTAATTGTGTTAACTGCTGACAAATATTTCTTTTTTCTGACCTTTTTATTCAATCTTTCAGTTACTCATCTAGCCCTATGTATCTATTCATTTCCTTCTGTCTGCAATCTGTATGGCTATGGCCTCCTGTTTAGAATATTTCTTCACTTGTAGGTTCAATAATCGCTCCATCAATTTTAATTTTTTCCTCTTTGGAGAGGTACTGCTGTGTTGAAAAATCTTTCTATCTCTCTTTCTTCAACTCCTGTCTTCCTGTTTGACTTCTAGACTGTGTGATTTCTGAACATACCAATATTCATGTCTTGTACAGTGCCAAGAACACCAGTGTTTAATACCTAGCAGTACAGGAAATGCAGACTTGCTATAAGAGAATTAAACCACTTGGGCAAAAATGGAGATACTGCTGCCTTGGCAACAGCCACTGACTGCTCTAACTATAAAGTCTAACTAATAACTAAATTGTTGGGCTTGGTATGTGCTAAAGAATCTGAGCGATAGTACATACATAGATGTTTATTTTCGATTATCCTGGCAACCCCGAAGTATATATATCCTTGTGGTGCAATGTAAACTCCTTTCAAGATGATGTTTAAGAGGAATTTAATCTGTATAGAACACTAGCAAACTGAAGCACAGTGAATTTATTAATTTAAGAGACTTATTCATTTAATTTTCGCCATTTAGTATTTATATTCTTTTCCCATTCATTTATTCCGTTCATTTTTATTCATTTATTCATTTATCAAATATTCATTTTAATGGCATTCATTATCGCTACAGTAACTGTAGGGACAGATTTGCAATAATTTTATTCTTTAAATAGGTTTATTCTTGGAAAATTTAAAAAACAGGGAAAGGCTACTTGTTGTGTCAGGCTCATTCCCATTTCCTTTTCTCTGAACTGTGTGTCTCTTTACTCCCCTTGTTTCTTTACAGCCCTCCCTAGGTTTCTCTTGAATTTCTTTATATGTTTTATGACAACAGCTCAGTTCAGTGATGTTGGACCAAATGCCTGATTATGTGTATTTCTGAAATCAGAGCCTGTTTTTCAGTGCTTTGGATACTTGATTTAGTCTGCTTTTTTTCTCCACATATATTAGCTTTTCCTCTAAAATTCACCTCCTATTCCCTTTTAATGCAAGTTCCTTTTCCCCATAGATGAGTACCCTACAAACCAGAGATCAAAGACCTTTTTAGCAACAAGTGTTCTGAATTGCAGTAGAAAAAAGCCTAGACATCTGAGAGATTAGGTTCTGTGTATTAATTTCCATTGAAGCACTGAGAATTCAGATCATTTGTGAGAAGAAAAAAAAAAAAAAGCCTTTTTTTTTTTTTCCCTATGTGAAAACAATGGATGAATAATACCTGTGAACTTCCATAGGTATCAGATTGTGCTTTTGATGGGTGAACAAGGACTGGATCATCCAATGCCTGTGCTTTTGAGTTAGAATTACAGTTCTGCAGTTTCAGCTGTATATACCAGTCACCTTTAAGGATGTGACTTACGTGTAGTAAAATCTTATCATGGAAAGCAGGAAATTCACAGATGAACAAATACTTGTTCTTGGTAAAGAATTAAATTGTTTGTAGTTTTTGCGCTTCTATTTTCAGTGTACCCCCCATTTCCTATGAAACTTCTCTGTCACTATTTTAATCCTTCTTTGTATTACAACTTTTAAACATTGGCAGGTTTTAGTTTCCCATATCTTAAACTTTTCGTCTTTAATCAACCAGGGTATTTGAAACTTAAACTCATTAATCTTTAGGCAACTCTAGATTCAAGCCATTTCCATCCTATGTTCTTTCACAGCATATCTGCATTCTGACTTGTGTCAGAAACACTGGTGCTGTTCAAAAACCCAGCTGAAATATGTTACTACATCATATTTGGTTGCATAGTACCTATATTTGACGCTTACAAAGTTGTTATTTTGTATTTATAAAATCAGAAGAGACTAGTTTCCTAATCTTGCAGAAAGCATCATGAACTGGGTATTCCCTACTATTATATATTCAATAAACCAAACTGCTTCAGATATTTACATTCTGAAGGTTATCTTTGTTGCCAGAAGAGCTTGAAGTAATTTCCTTTACAATGAGATCTTATGTTTATAGAATATGTTGTGACCCTGCAGGAAAATCTCTTCACACCCCAATCTCAGGTTGCAACTCTAATTTTGAACCACTGCTCTGGAGGCTTTTTATCAGCTAAAAAAATGTCTTATCTGTGGTTGCTTTTAGCTGCATAGTAAGCAGTCATTTGAAATAGGTAATGTCTTCTTAAAGGTCTATAATCTGAAGCCCACAGTTGTCAATGGAACACCTAATGATTTCAGGGACTGTGGATCCGGGTGTTTGTTTATTCCATAATATGCAGTGTCTGCTAGTTGCAAGATACAAGGAAATGGGACTGTCTATTGAAGCCAGACAGCAATATACTGGTGGCATTTACTTTCTCAGATAAAGCCCTGAAATCCCTTTGAATCTAAATATTTTGCAGTAGCATGCCTCTTTAATTAACCTCTTCCTGAGAAAGCAATCATCTTTCCAACTCACCTGCCCAGCTCCTCCCAGCCCCTGAGCATCCCTGCAGCCCTGAAAAGGAAAGCCGATCACCAGTGTTATAGGCTTGACTTCCTGTGGCTGAGGCTGAGGCTGTGGCTGAGGCTAACTTCTCTGAGGATGAACCTGGAAGCCTGGGCCCAGACACAGTGTAAGAAATATCATTTTTATATTTTTATATATATAAAAATATATATATATTATAAAAATTCTAAAATTATATATAAATTATTATATTATATATAAAATTAAAAATTATAAAAATATATATATATAAAAAAATTTATATATATTTTTATATATATAAAAATATTTTTATATTAATTTTCTTAAAAATATTGAATTTCTTTATTTTTATAAATTGGCTCTACTTTCCAAAAATATGAAAGTGTATATTCAAGTAAGCGGAGAAATAGTTATACTTTATTCTATCTCATCTTCTCATGCAGTGTTTGACTTTTATATTTGTGGGAGCTCCACTGCCCCCTCCTGCCCAGAAGAATGTTAAGTCAGTCTGGAGAGATTGGCTATATGCTATTTAACCCTCAAGTGTACATACATTTTTTCATTAAATCTGAACATTAACCTAATGGCCTTTAGGCACAATATGTTTTGAAAAACTTAGGTGTGTTGTCTATTGCTTGCTTTTCAACTCCAGTTCTTGCAAACACTACAGGGACCTCATTAAATTCTGGGGCTGTATTATCTTCTTTCTTTATGAAGTTTATTCTAATATCCTGCCATGGTCTAATGTATTCTTTTGTCAGCTTCACTCCACTTTATACATCTGAGGAAGACTTTCTGTTTTTATTTCCTTGCTCTGAAAACTTCATTCACAGCCAGTTTTGACGTCTCGGGATATTGTTTAGCTTGTTCCTCCATTGTGTCACTCTTTGTAGTCCCTTGATAATATTCTGTGCTTTTTAGGCATGACATGCATTTTTTTAGTCATTATTTTAATTTCCTGACTTAAATCTAAATAGGGCAAGAAATAGAGCAGAAACATAGATGGTCTTGTAGGCCTTTCTGCTGTCCTTAAAAAAGGAGAAGTTGCAATAACATGAAAAATTAGTCTCAACCTGGAGAAACTTTAGCTTTATTTTTAGGAAGCTATTAGACCAGCAAGTAAACTATTGGCTATAAAAGGCAGCCCCATCCACTGGTGCATCCTTAAAGTTGGAGCCAGAGCCACTTGATGCCTCTTGAATCTGACCATGCAGGCATTGTATTGCTTATTCCAATTCTAGCTTCCACTCTAGCCTTTTTTAACCTTCATGACAAACATTAGCATTGCAGGAAAGATGAAAGATGCTTTTGTGAGAAACCTCTGCCTGTTATATCCATTCTTACCCTGCATATCCTGTATATAGAGACAAATCTCTTCTGTCCTTTTTTCTTTATTTACACCAGTTTCATGTGTTTGCTTTACGCACTTCACCTGAGCTGAACATTAGTTTCTCACATTAGTTCCAATCTGTTGTTATTTGAGAAAGACTTGCTGGGTTCTATATCTGTGTCGCACTGTGGAACAAATCAACATATAAATACATTCCAGTAAAATTCAGGATACTGGAAAAATTAGTATTAACTGTTCATGGAAAAAAATTGAACTTTTATGGACAGAAAAAGCAATTCAATAAAACAATATAGAAAAGGAGTACAACAATTATCTCATGCAGAGCCAGCTCATCAACATTTTAAAGAAGTCTACATATCCACTTACAAGTACTTATGATGCTCAGTGCACCCTCTTAAACAAAGTCAAGTATGCAAGACTAATACAAAATCAGTTAC